AAACGGGCACTGAAGTTACGCGAAAATAACAAAACGGTTACTAGAGTTTAAAACTTGCAGAAATCATCACTGAAGTTTCATGCGGTTTCAAAAATAGTCACGGAACTTAGTTTTAGGACTATTGTGCCTTAATTCAAACCTAAAACACCAAAACACGAGGACAAAGAAGCTAGAGGACCTCAAGTGCCAAATTCAACTTAAAATCTCCCCAACCCCAAAACCAGACTACCACTTTTTGCGCCCCAGTCCACGACATTCCGACTGCCAAAACCATCGAACCAATACACTATCTTGAAGCCCTCGCTTCCCTCTATGCAACCCAATCAAGATCCACCCCTACCTCCGACGGTGGTGGCCGGAATTTCATCCCAAAGTGGGCCTCTCACACAGCTGACAGTTTTGTGCCGTGTGAGAGTCCCACTTTTGGACGAAATTCCACCACTTTTCGTCCACCAAAACCACCGGACCAACACATCTCCTAGAAGCCCTCGTTGTCCTCTACGCAACCCATCCAAGAATCGTTCCTAAATCTAACGGAAAGTGGCCGGAATTTCGTCCCAAAATGGCAGTTGGCAATTTTTTCTTTGCGAGCGGTCCACTTTAGGATGAAATTTTGGCTACTTTCCGGAGGATTTAAGGATGAGTCTTGGGTGGATTATATAGAGTGAAACGAGGGCTTCAAGTGGTATGTTCGTCCGATGGTTTTGGTGGACGAAAAGTGGTGGAATTTTGTCCAAAAGTGGGCCTCTCACATAGCACAAAACTGCCGACTGTGTGAGAGGCCAACGTTGGGACGAAATTCCGGCCACCACCGTCGGTAGGGACGGTTCTTGGGTGGGTTGCGTAGATGGAAGTGAGAGCTTCAATATGATGTGTTAGTTCGATGGTTTTGGTGGCCGGAATGTGGTGGAATGGGGCTCGAAAGTGGTGGTCTGGGTTTGGGTTGGGGAGATTTTAAGTTGAATTTTGCACTTGAGGTCCTCCAACTTCTATGTCCACGTGTTTTGGTGCTTTAGGTTTGAATTAAAACATAATAGTACTAAAACTAAGTTCGGTGACCGTTTTTTAAACCAAGTGAAACTTTAGTAACCATTTATGTAAATTTTAAACTTTAGTGATCGTTTTGTTATTTTCGCGTAATTTCAGTGACCGTTTGTGAAATTAACCCTTATTTTATTAGAAAATGTGAGTAATTAAAGAACGAGTGATTAGCACGTATCGTCCCCACCTTTCATTATTATTGTAGAAAACGTTCATACATTTCATTGTCTAGCATTTTTGCTTTTATTTTTTCACATTTAATTGTGTAAAAGGTCATTTTCATCTATTTTTCTCAATTAAGGATTGTGAAATGTTGAATATACCCTTCACTTTAAAATAAAACAAAAAGAAAAAGAAAAAAATAATTACAATCATAGTCCCAAATTTGTTTTAAAAAGTGCAAATAAGGGTGTGTTTGAATCACATTATTTTGGAAGAATATATTTTAGAATAGTAGATTAATGGAGAATGTGTGGTTAAAAAAGAAAGAAAAGTTATTGATATGATGGAAAATATTATTTTATTGAAAAATGTGGTTGAAAATGAGCAGAATAAGGAAAATGAAAATTTTAATGTGGTTCAAATAGAGTGAGTCTCAAACAAATTATTAAAAGGGTAATTACTACATAATGTTCATATCTTTCACCTTTATTGCGAAGATAATTAACACCTTTCATTTTTATTTTTTTTTCATTTTTACCCATAATTACACATTTGACTGTGTAAACCATCATTTTCAACCATTCTCATTCAATTTCTCAATAAAAAATTGTGAAATAATGAATATACCCTCATATTTAAATAAAAAATACATTTTTTAATTTATAATTCTTTAATAATTTATTTGGGATTCGTCTGAACTTTTTTATTTTTTTTAAATTTTTAAATAAATTTAATTGGGACTCGTTTGCACTTTTAAAAAAATTTGAAACTGTGATTGTAATTAATTTTTTAGCTTTTTTATTTAATTTGAGGGTATATTCGTCATTTCACATCTTTTTATTAAGAAATTGGATGAGAATTAATAGAAATGATGGTTTGCGCTATCAAATGTGTAATTAAGGGTAAAAATGCCAAAAAATAAAAGGTATTGACTTTTTTTCAATAATGGTGAAAGGTATGGACATTATGTGCTAAATACACTTTTAATAATTCATTTGTGACTCATTTGCACTTTTTAAAAAAATTGGGACTACTATTGCAATTAATTTTTTTCCTTCTTTATTTAAATGGAATTATATATTCGTCATTTCATAATTTTTATTTGAAAAAATAGATAAAAGGGACCTTTTGAGCAATGAAATGTCAAATTGTCAAAAAAATGGAAGATAATGATTTTTTCCACAATAACAGCGAAAGGTGGGAACGTTACGTGCTAATTACATTTCAAAAAAACATTATAAATTCTATAAAATGTGCTTTTGAAATAATTTTGGAAAAAAAAATTA